ACACACCCCCAGCCCTCTGCCCTGACCTTTGAAGCCCCCCACACCCACCCTTCTGGGGGTGTGGGGGGCTTCAGAGGTCAGGGCCCACTCAGCCCGCTGCCGGCCTAGGTGAACAGAACGCCAGGCTGGCAGCGACCTGAGCAGGCTGGTGGCGTAAGATCAGCATTTTAATTTAATTTTAAATGAAGCTTCTTAAATATTTTGAAAACCTTGTTTACTTTACATACAACAGTAGTTTAGTTATATAATATATAGACTTATAGAGAGAGACCTTCTAAAAAACGTTAAAATGTATTACCGGCACACGAAACCTTAAATTAAAGTAAATAAATGAAGACTCGGCACAACGTTTCTTAAAGGTTGCCTACCCCTGCTCTAGTACATAAGAACGGCCACACTGGGTCAGACCAAAGGTCTATCTAGCCCAATATCCTGTCTTCTGACAGTGGCCAATGTCATGTGTCCCAGAGGGAATGAACAGAACAGGTAATCATCAAGTCACCCATTCCCAGCTTATGGCAAAAAGAGGCTAGGGACAGCATCCCTGCCCATCCTAGCTAATAGCCATTGATGCACCTGTCCTCCATGAATTTATCATGTTATTTTTTTGAACCCTGTCTTGGCCTTCACAACATCCTTTGTTAAAGAGTTACACAGGTTGACTGTGCGTTGTGTGATGAAATACTTCCTTTTGTTTGTGTTAAACCTGCTGCCTATTAATTTCATTTGGTGATTCCTAGTCCTTGTGTTATGAAAAGGAGTAAATAACATTACCTTATTTACTTTCTCCACACCAGTCATGATTTTATAGACCTCTTTCATACCCCCCTTCATCTCTTTTTCCAAGCTGAAAAGTCCCAGACTTTTTAATCTCTCCACATACAGAAGCTGTTCCATACTCCTAATCATTTTTTTGCCCTTTTCTGAACCCCTTCCAATTCCAATATATCTTTTTTGAGATGGGCTGACCACATCTGCACGCAGTGTTCAAGAAGTGGGCGTACCACGGATTTATATAAAGGCAATATGATATTTTCTGTCTTATTATCTATCCCTTTCTTAATGATTCCCAACATTCCGTTTTTTGTTTTTTTTTACTGCCTCTGCAACTTGAGTGGATGTTTTCAGAGAACTATCCACAGTGACTCCAAGATCCTGTTCTTGAGTGGAAACAGTTAATTTAGACCCCATCATTTTATATGTATAGCTGGGATTATGTTTTCCAATGGGCTGCAATATGTGCTATCCTGACATCTAGCACTGCTGAGATGCTGCATTCAGTGATGTTCCTGCCCTTCCTGTTCCCTTTCTCCAGTGAACCCCACCAGCTCATGCTTACTGTTCCCAGCTTCCTCAGGACTCTCTCATTGTCTCTGGACCTGTCTGTCAGCAAGAAGCAGTTCCAGGGAGTCTTGCCCTCTGTCTGGAGTCTTTGATTTCTGGGACATGGATTTACTTTCTCTGTGTTTTAGGAGCCTCTTTGAAATTGAGTGTCTGTGACATTAACCACAGTACAATCTGGACAGTTGAACAGCTGTGTCCCCTCAGTTCCCCAAGCTGGGGTGCCTTTTCCACTGCTTTACTGTGAGAATAGCCACTCCTGGGCAGTTAACACACAGTCTCCAGCATGTAACTTGCTCCCAGCTACACAGTATAGAGTCCTTCTAATTAACGACTCACGAATTACAGTACACCACAGGAGAACTCCAGAAAATTCTCTGGTCCCAGACTTCCCCCAGAAATGTGCATCTTGCATTGTCCAGCATACTACTGAACAACGCAAGCTCATATGAAGTCTGTAATTTCGTCGGTGGAAAATGACATGCGCCAGCCTTGTTATTCCAAATGGAGTTTCCAACCCACTTTAATCCAAACACACTGGTTAGATAAACAATAAACCAAGATTGTTAACTACTGGGAAAAAAAGATTTCAAGTGACTAAGGGGAATGAGGCATAAAAGTCAAAATTGGTTACAAAAGAAATGCTAGATAAAACAAAAACTAACGTCTAAGTTAACAAGCTAAAAGGGATTCAAAGCTAATGTTTCTCTCACCATATGCTGAGACAGGTTGGCTTTCCTTTCAGCCAGGACTCTCCTAACCCACCCTGTTGCCTAAGTTCAGCTCTTCAGGAGTTATCATGAGCAGAGGGAAAGAGGAAAGAGAGAGTCTCAAGTATTTTCCTCACCTTTTTTAATTCAGTCCTTTGTGCTAGAAACAACTTCAGTTCTCAGCTGAGTCATGGTGACAGGCTGTCTGTTGTAGACATGAGCTTCAAGTGTTGTCACGGACTCACAGACCGTGCCCACTCTTGGCCCCGTGCGGTCCGTGGGGGGTGCCCCTTTCAGTGAGACAGCCCTTCTCGGGGGTCCACTCTCTCTCAGGATCAGGCCCCTCCACCTCTCTGAGCCTTAGCACGTCTGTCTCTGCCGTGGGCCCCCTCAGGGAGTTCATTCGCTCTGGACCCCCCGGGGCCTCCACCCCCCGAAGGGGTTGATGCAACCCTGTTCTCTAGACCAGAGTGACTCTCAGCCAGCATAAAACAGGAGGGTTTATTGAGCATTGAACATAGCACAGGAAGCTCTCTGACCCTCAGGCCTGGCCTCCATCATCACAGCACATCCAAGTCTCTCCCTGCATCCAGGTGGGCTCTGCCTGCTCCCCCTCTCCAGCCCCGAGCCCCCCTGCTTCCCAGCTGGGCATCTGATATCACCGGCCCCAGGCCCGGCCTCTTTCCATTGTCTTCTCTCCAGGTAAACAGGGTCGCCTCGGCCTCCTGTCCTCTGGCCCCCTCTGTCTGGAACTGGCTGGTTAGGTCATGGGGTCCCCTCTTCACAGCCCATTGTCCTCCCACTGGCCAGAACCGGCTGCGACTCCTGAGCTGGGTCTCCGTCCTCCAGGCCATCAGCTGGGGTCCCAAGTTCCCTCTCTGGTCCTCTGTACCAACAAACTCCCTCTCCCCTCACCTTGTTAAACCAGTAACACCCAGGGATACTGAGTCCCACTCCCTCTGCATGCAAACCATTGGAAAACCACGAAAAAAATTAAAAAATCCCCCACTTCGTCACAAGTGTTCCCTG